TTCTACCAGTTCACTTGCCTGTGAGCGCCAGAGGGTGGCACTCCAGGCACTATGGAGGGACCCGGAGGAGGAGGAGGAGGAGGAGGAGGAGGAGGAGGAGGAGGAGGAGGAGGAGGAGGAGGAGGAAGAGGAGGAGAAGTGGGGGGGGCTGCAGCGGTGGGCAGAGGAGGGGGAAATAAATCTTGAAATCCACCCCCACGCTTTTAAGGAATAAGTGGGCTTCTGCCAGACTAGGTGTCACCGTGTTAAGAATTTCTAAAATGAAAAAGCCTTGCAAGGATTATTCAAAATCGAAGGTATTCACCCTCCTGGTCCCAGGAAATCCGGCTGCTGGGGGTATGGTTGCTTGAGGGTGGGCATCCAGCCACTGTGAGTGAGCCAGCATCTGACCTGATCCTTTGTGTCCTGTTTTGCAGTTGCTGGATTTGTGTGACTCTGCGAAGGATGATGCCCTGAGGGTGATCTCTGCCTTTAACATTCCACACACCTATCTGCACACACAGATCGCTGGCATCGCCCACCCGCGGGCCATTCTACCCCGCACTGCAGCGGGCCCAGGGCCAGGAAAGGGCGCACTCCAGGCGGCCCCAGCCCGGAGCCAGGCTGTAGCGGATGTAGGGGCAGGATGGTGGTTCGCTTGCATTAGCCACCCACATTGCTTCTCTGATGCTGGAGCTGGAGCAGAGGCCGGCCACGGAGCAAGGCTGGCGAGACTCACCGGGCTGTCTGGAAGGGAGTACACGCAGTTCTCCCTTTCCCCGACCACCCATGCCACCTCTTAAGCTTCAGCTGGATCCCCGCAGCCGGTGCAACTCTTGGTCTCCCGCTGACAGCGATGCCTAAGATTCCCAGTGATTTTGAAAAACTGTGGTGCTGGGGGGGGGGGGGGGAATCAAAGCACAGACACCAAATATCCGCGGGCAGAAGTTCAGCTCAGAGGCTCCAGTGAGTCAGAGCCTCCCGGCTCTGCGAGGAAATGTGCTGCTGGACCGGAGCCTGCACTGGGGGCTCCGAGCACCAGCTCAGCGGTCCTCCTTGGCCCGCGGCACCGGCCGCAGGACAGCGCGCGGATAACGTTCTCACCAAGGGCAACTGTACCATGTCCTCTAGAAGCGCAGATACCACGTTAAATAAAGAAATGAAGTGACGCGAAGGCTATCTTGCGGTTTGCGAAGGGTGAGGCGGTCCAGCGGGCAATGCACCACAGGAAGTAGGTTTCGGGATTTGGAGAGACCACCCTGGCCAGGCCAGGCATTTCCTGGGTCTCAGGTCCCCGCGGCCCTTTCTGTTCCAGTCATTCTCCGTCCTCCTGCTCCGCTCCGCCCGCGTCCGCAAGGCGCCATCCGTGCGGAGCGAGCACCCTTCTCCCGCCAGCCCTGCCCTGGCCGGTCTCAGAGGGACCTGTGGGTGCTGAGGGTTGGACGGGAAGGGCTCCAGGCCACGGGCGCGGGGCCCTCGCCCAAACTCCCCAGCACAGTCTGGGTGAACTAAACAGCCGCCTTCTGGCCGACCTCCAGGTTGTGTGTCAGATAAAAGCACCTAATAGGTTGCTTTCCTCCCCACTTTTGTTTTTTAAGTGTTCTTCGGGCTGCTTGAGCGGGTAGCGAGGAGGTGGTGGAGCTGCGCGGGAGCAGGCGACACCCTCTGCGTGTGCGTGTGCGTGTGTGTTTCTTTCTTTTTTCCCCTGGCCCCTGCCTTGTCCAGGCCCGGAGCACCTGGGAGCGGGGAGCGGTGGGGTTCCTGGTGGGCGGAGCGGGTTCTATGAATAGTTCCCTGGGCTACACCAAGCGGTTACGCGCAAAGCTCGCCCGCGGCTGCCGCCGACAGTCCTGAGCGGACGCTCCAAATCGCGGTCAGGAGAGACCGCCGGCCTCTGCCTCCACCTGGCCACGTCCACGCCTGTCCTCCCCGTGTACAAAAAAACCACCCCACTCCCCTGCATCCTCTGGCACTCACTCCCCGGGACTCACTGGAGTTGGCACCGAGACTTTGATCTGGGGCTGTGCTGTCAGGGTGCCCTTCTGTTTCTGCTCACAAACAAGAACTGACCCAGTGGCCAGAGAGCCGGACAATACCGAGGACCCTCCCTTTACCATCAGCGGGTGCTGGTTACAGCGGCCCCTAAATGGTATTTCTTTAATCCGCCCAGCCTGGGCGCCCCCACGGCGAGAGCTATTTCTTCTCTGGACCGACCTTACACCAAACCGCGAGTCTCCAAGCCTGGGGAGCTCAGGGAGGGGCGCGCAGGACGTGCTCTGGGAGGACAGATGGGGGTGCGGACCCCAAGAAACACGGGAGGAGTGGGGGAAGGAGAGGGCTGGGATCTCGGATTACAAGTAAGGGGATAAGGCGCACGGGCAGAGGGGCTGCAGGTACTGCGCTCCCCATGCAGGTTGGAACCCCGCGGCCGCCTACACCGACCGGTCTCAGCAAGCCGATGGGGCAGCTCCCTGAACGCAAGAATCTTTGAGGATCCCCACTGGGCGGAGGCACCACCCTCTCTCTCACCTGAAGGCCATAGCTCTTCTTGGTCCTTCTCTCTCTCTCTCTCTCTCTCTCTCTCTCTCCCTCCCTCCCTCCCTCCCTCCCTCCCTCCCTCCCTCCCTCCCTCCCTCCCTCCCTCCCTCCCTTTTTTTTCATAAAAGGATTTTTTTTAAAGTTAGTTTTTCATTTCCTTATTTTACCTGCTCGGTACAGGCTCGCTTCCCGTCTCGCAACCGCGCCGCAGAGAGGCTTTGGGGATCGCTGGGCGCTCTGTCCTGGTTTCTGCCCACCAATGGCCCCACCGCTTAGCGGAGGTCTGGCGCGGGAGAAAGGCTGGGCAGCCCAGCAGGTGGCATGAGCAGGGCGCCCCAGAGGAAGATGAGCGGCCTGAATATCGGGTCCCGCCCGAGGATCCGACTCTGGGAGTGGGGATTGCGTAGAGGCGCCCCTGTCCACCGTGACCCCGCGCTTTCTTGGGTCCAACCCGTCCTCGCGTCCGCCCCAGAGCGGCTAAGAGAAACTCCAGCCGCGAGTCCAGAGCTCTGGGCCGCCTCCAGAGACTCCGCGGGCGGCAGCGAGCGGCCTCACGGTGCCAGGAGCGCCCCCTGTTCCCTGGCACCGGGGCGGGGGGGGGGGGAGGCGGGAGAGAGAGAGAGAGAGAGAGAGAGAGAGAGAGAGAGAGAGAGAGAGAGAGAGAGAGTGTCGAAGATGCACTTGGGGTGGGGGGAGGGTGCACTCTCGGCAGCCCGCAGCCTGAGTCACTTGGCAAACACTCCGGGCTGGTGTTCGGCGGGCGGCGCGCGCAGCGGGAACCGGCGGGCAGCCCCGCCTTCACCTGCTGGGCTAGCGCCCCCAGGGCACGCAGCGCCGAGGGGCGGGTCCGTAGCGCCAAAAGGGGCGGGACTGGAGGGCGGGGCGGGGCGGGCTGGCGGGGGCGGGGCCCGCAGTGATTGGGCGCGGGTGCAAGGCCGCGAGCGGGGAGCTGGGCTGCACCAGCGCGCAGGTTTCACTTCGCTCCGCGCCTCCAACAGGTCCTGAGCTCCTCCGATCGCTCCGAGCCGCGTCGCCTCTACCGCCGCCGCCGAGTGTTCTCACACGTCTGGCGCGCCCTGCCCGCTGAGGCCAGCATTGCCTGGGGCTGTTCGGTTCACCCTGTCCCCGCCGCCACCACCTCAGCGCCTTCCCCTGGCCCGCGCCCCCCCAATGTCTGACTCTGACTCTCGGACTGAGAAACGCAAGGTAAATAAATATCTTGGGATCCCGGGGAGGGGGCGGGACGCATGGATGACGGGCGCCGGAGCCACCCGTTCCACCTCCCGCCCGCTTCCCGCGCACGTGTGGCAGAGATGTACTACCAGTCCCGCCTGTAGCCTGGCGGGAAGCGGCGGTCAGAGAGGGTCGGTCGTCTCCCCAGGCAGGTCTGCTTTGGAAAGAGGTCGTCCTGCGGGAGTCTGCTAGCGCTTAGTGGAACTATGGACTGGACCGCGATGCGGCGCGCGGGGGGGTGCGGCGTCCTGGGCCGCTGGAGAAGCAGCGTGCGCTCCTCGCGCCGCCCGGGAACCGTGGCTGCTGCGCCGGACGAGCTGAGCGCTCGGGCCGGGAAGTCTCTCGGGCCGCCGAGCGGCAAGAGCCGGTGTTTGGTGCGCGCCCGATGCCGGGGATTTGCAGAACTGTGCTGGGGACTAACTGACCGGATTCGGCTTTTCTTGTGCACATCAGGCCGTGGGGTCGGGGCAGCCGCTGCGTCCACGCTCTCGGACGCGTTCGGGTCCCTGCTTCGTCTGCGATCGCTCTGCGGACCTGCCAGGCTCCCGAGCCACGGACAGCGAGAGTCCAAGGCCTCCTCCTCCACCACCGGGGCCACACGTTGGACAATCGCGGGCAGCAAACCTGCTCCGTCCGTGGGGGCCGGTCGGGCAGTCTTAGCGACTGACTCGGGCGTGCCCAAGCGCAGCCCCACTCCTCGCGGTGCTGCTAGAGGTGCCCTGCCCTCGGGCTGGCCGCTAGGACTTGGTGCTTGACCACGGCACTCGGGGAGGAAGAGGGAGGAAGTTGGAAAGGATGAGTGCTGCGGCAGCGGGGGAGGGGGCGGACCTGCGCGGGGGCGGGGGGAGGCGGCGGCCAGCGGCGAGGACCGGCGAGGACTGCCCGCGGCTCCGGCTTTGTCTCCGAGTGGCCGGCTCCTCCGGACGGCGGGAGCCGCTGAGGCGCGCGCGGCGTTGGGACGGGCAGAGGGGCTGGCCGGGCAGCAGGTCCGTCGGGGCCCGGGATCCTGGGAGCCTTCGTCCCCGCCGCGGCCCGCGCAGCGCGCGGAGGCGAATTTGTCAACAATCGCTCGGCCTCTGGCGGCCTCGCCGGTAGGCGCCGCCCCTACCGGGGCCGGCGATTGGCTGGGGCCCGGAGCGTGCGCGCGCGGGCCAATCGCGGGCGCGGGCACCGGCGCCAGCGGCGCGGGGAGGCGGCGGAGCCGGCGACGGCGGGCGCAGAGCGCGAGGGGAGGAGCGGCCGAGGGGAGGATGTTCCCGGCGGCGGCGGCCGGGGCGGTGCGGGACGGAGGCGCGGCGCGGGGAGCCCTGGGCGGCCCGGCGGTGCGCGGCGGTGGGCGCGCGGCCAGCTGCGGGCTCTGCGCCGCCCCGCGGCCTCTGAGCGCGGGCTCCTGGCTTTGTGTGGCGCGCCGCCTTCGCGGGGACGGTGTGGGGGCTCCGGGTCGGCGAAGGGTGCGGGCACGACGCCGCGGGGCCCGGGCCCGGACACGACACTCGGCGGGGAAGGGTCGGACGTGAGTTTCAGCTTAAACTCGTGGGGAGAGGGAGGATCTAAGGATGAAAAGACCGTGCGCCCCGGGTCGCCTAGCGTGCGGGGTTCCTGCTAACTTGTCGGGGCTCCCGGGGCCAGCTTCGGGAACCCCCTATTTGGAAGTGCTCACCTAACACTGCCGGTGGACTTGCGGGAAGTTTTGCCGGGCGGGTGCGTGGCGCTGCCCCCGCGGGGAAGACCTCGGAGGGACAGGCGGGAGCGGCGCGGGCCGAGCGGCTCAGAGTTACAAACTCTATTGTGACGCACTTACTACGACGGACGGCCCTTGCCAAAGCTCCCAGACTTGCTGCCCTCAGCACTTTCGGCAGAACAATGGGGCCGGAGCAGGGAGCGCGGCCAGCCGGCTGCAGTTGCTGCCTCTGCGCGCACTCCTGTGCCCCAAGCGCAGGGTCTAGTCCTGGGAACCAAGGAATCAGAATCCCCGGGAGGTTCTGGCTTAGTCCGGTGGGCTCTGAGCAGAGCCCTGAGCAGAGCCCTGTGAATAGGCTTCAGACCTGCTGCCTCCCCCAAAACTTGACTATGTGTTCCAGCACCAGCCAGTCATCGATGTTGTTACTGTGTTTTGTTTGGTGGCAGGAAGTTCAGTGCCCCCAATGCAAATAATAATGCCTTTGTTACTTTATGATGTTTTTATTCTTATCTGGAAGGTGGTCAGAGAAATGCACTTACTATTGAAGTATTTGTTAATTTCTAATGAGTACATGAGCATTAGCTAATTCAGTTATTCCTTGTGATTATGTTGCTTAAGGTAATCGTAGTTTTTATTTTACTTGCAGAAAAAAAGACCAAATGGCAAAGCAACCTTCTGATGTAAGTTCTGAGTGTGACAGAGAAGGTGGACAATTACAGCCCACGGAGAGGCCTCCTCAGCTCAGGCCTGGGGCGCCCCGCTCTGTACAGATAGAGCCACAAGGTAATCCTGAAGGCGAAGGGGACCGCTGCCCCCACGGCAGCCCTCAGGGCCCGCTGGCCCCACCGGCCAGCCCTGGGCCTTTTGCTACCAGATCCCCGCTTTTCATCTTTGTGAGAAGATCCTCCCTGCTGTCTCGATCCTCCAGTGGGTATTTCTCTTTTGACACAGACAGGAGCCCAGCACCCATGAGTTGTGACAAATCAACACAAACCCCGAGTCCTCCTTGCCAGGCCTTCAACCATTATCTCAATGCAATGGGTAAGCAGTTCTGGGGAAGGGGCAGTGGACCTGTGGCTGGCTGACTATCTATATACTGAGAGGCTGTAGCACTTACAGCTCATTTTAGAATCCTTTCACTGATTTAGTCCACATTTAGATAGGAATGGAGGAGGTGTCAAGACATCAAACCAACATTTAAAAAAAAAAATGCCGCCAAGTTTTGTGGCAGCAATAAATTGAGGTCCACACATCAGCTTCTTGGGCAGCAAAGCTGGAGTCCTTTGCTGCTGTCACTGTGTAACATGGCAAGGTCTTTTCACTAATTACTTACTAATGACATTCCACTTGGAAAGGACTCAAGGCAGTTACAGCAGGGAGCTCAACATAACCAGAGGGTGAAGACGTGAAGCAAACTGACCTGTAGTCGGTGCCAGCACAGAACCATGAACACGGAGTTTTCTGTTCAGATTCTTCTTTGAGCTTATTTTGTTGGCTCAGAGAGTTTTAACATGGTCTTAATGAGATTCGATTATGGTTTTTATTTCAGGGATGAAAGGCAGTTTTAGGGTCTGAATGAGGAGGGCAATCAAGGCTCAGAAACACCCGGCAGTACAGCAGTGAGGCTTGGTTAGACCCCTTCACCCTTGGCCTGTGGCTTTGAGTACAGGCAGCAAAGGGGTGATGAGCGTGTGGGTTCAAATCGCTGTCCTCCACGGATGGGAAAGGTTGGTTTCTTCATCAGGGTTCAGCTGGTATCCTTTACCTCTGCTCCAGATTAGTCCTTCCTGCTTTGACCATATACGACCAAGGTGGCAGCATTATCGACTAAAAAATTGAATATTGATTCTATGAAAACATAAGGGACACAAAGTCACCAGAGGAGATCCTTAACTGCTGGAAACCAATGACAAATCTTGATTTGCAAATTCCATAGGTCTTAGTCTTCATAACATTCAGTGAGGTGAGAACTGTGCTGGTCTGTCCCCATGTCACAGAGAGAGAAAGACCTTAGAGGGTTGGTCACTTGTCTGTCAGAGGATATGCACACCGGGGACGTGGCAGGCACAAATGACAAAAACGCCAGCAGCTACATTTGCCTGCATGTCTCGTGCTAAATCTTGAGTGATAGAGTCTGCCCTCTGTATTCACCGGTTTCATGGTTACCAACTGTAGATGGAAAATATTTGGGGAGAAAATATCAGGAGAAAAACTTAGCAGGTCCCAAAAAGCAAAACTCAAATTTGCTGTGTGTGGACCAAATGTTGCTCGGAATCCATGTGCATGTGATGTGCAGGCACACCTTGCTGTCTCCTGCATGCAAATACTGGAGCACCCATGGGTTTTTGGTATCCACGGGAGTCCTGGGACCAATCCTCCAGGGTCCCAAGCGACCACTGTACTTTATTAGGACCCTCCTCAGGCAAAGGAGCCAGAAATTTTATTACTGCTATTCCTTTCGTTACTGCTGTTGGTACTGGTACAACTCCTAAACTCCTTCCAACCTTGGAAGTTCTTGGTGCTTGCAAATGGTTTTCTACCCATGAAAATAATCCTGAGTACACAAACCCACAGCTTTCTTGCTCACTAAGTGAATTAACAGGGCTCATTGGTGTGTGTGTGTGTGTGTGTTTAATAGCCTATGGGTTTAAGGAGCCTTCACAAGCTGTTACAGTGTTTCACTGCAGACCAAACCAGTCTCTGCAAGTGCTCACGGCTTAATGCACAGGAATAATTTCTTCTTGTCAACCAGGTATGGGCCACTTAGTGTATTTTGAATGTAAGGGTGGCATGATTGCTTTTTTGGTGACATGTTCTTTAGCAAGCTAATTATAAGGTATATGCACCGTTACTTGAGGTGACAGATGGAGGGCCTTAGAGATCACAATCTCAGTTACTAAGCAAAGTTGTGGTTATGCCTGGGAGTGCAGTGATGGGTCCTGAGGGGTAATTTCATAGTAACTACACTTCAGTAGGTTGGTGTGGTAACAGAATGCATAGGATTAAGTGATAAATTATAGAGTTTGTTTGAAGTCAATGCACCAAGATAAGTTTTCAGGATTAGTTTTTGGGAGGTGAGTTGAGCAGGGGCTGAGCTGGGGAGGGCATCCTGGAGACTGGTGGGAGAAGAGGACAGTTAGACGAGAGTCCATTCCATGGAATCACATTTGCCATCTTGTGATGCAGAACATTTTCCTGATATTGGTGAAGTAGTTCGGTTCCTGAAGGCCGCTGAAATTTGCTGAGTTGGTAGACTTGGTTCTTTTCTTTTGAGCTCTATTCACTCTTCCTTACTCAGCCACATCCATTAAGATCGTCAGTGAAGCTTTTGATAATGTATTGCAAAATACGTTTTCCACAAAGAAGTCTTTGTGGTGGTTTTCTCCAGTGGGCACGAACGTGAGGTTATTGGAGGAGGGGGGAGGGGAGATTTCTCCTTACCCAGTGGCACCCATGTCCATAGACGGTTTTGTTCAGAGACTTGGGGTGGAGAACAGCGTATATTAGTGTTGTTCCTGCAACTTGTTCTGCTGAGAAAGTGCCCTCTGTGGGGGACGCACAGCAGCTAGATACACCTTCACGTTTTTCTCCACGTCTTCGAGCTGTTTTCTGATGCTGTGTTCAGAGAATATCTGTGAGAGATCACTGTTCACGTGCCCAAGTTTTAGTCTCCTGTCACCCCGGGAGGATGGAGTGCCAGATGCTCTCTCAGGGAAGAAGGATGATTTTAATCAAAGTCGCTGACGGCTGCTGGTGGCTGAGTGCCCTTCCTGTTGCGCACACTTCCACCAGATGTGCTTCATGCAAACCGTGCACGGAATGCCGCACAGAGTCACGCTTTGAAGGTGCAGTCGGTACTGTTGAAAGTGCGAGCTGAGAAAGGTGAGGATAAGGGCGAAAGCTAGTGACGAACTCCCACATGTCACTTTGGTAAATGACAACATTGATACTCCTCCTGACACATGGGAGCTGCGTTCCCTGTGTCCTCAGGGTCCTGCTCGCTCCCCTCTCAGTGTGTGAGCTCTGAGGGGAGGAGGCACGATGTGCGAATCCTGAGGGCCTGGCAGAGGATGCTCAGGAGATGTTCCGTGGCCTTCAGGGTTTGCCTGTAGCCTTTCCAAAGAGCTTCTTGGACAAGTAACCTGTCCGAGGAGAAGGCCTCAGATTTTTGTAGCTTACATGGATGTAGCCAGCAGGTGAAAGGTAAAGCCTCGCTCAGCACAGGTTCGCAGGAAGCCCAAGTGGGCATTGAACCCTCAGGTGGGACTAATCAGTTCAGGTCACATGCGAGTTTCAGGCTTATCCAAGAAAAAGAGGGCGAAATAACCCAGGCATTTTCATACTAATTGTATGTTGAGATATTCTGAATACAATGGGTAAAATGTTTTATAAAAATGCCATTGGGGTAAAAATACTCATAAAACTTATCATCGTAACCTTTTCTAAGTGTCCAGTTTAGTAGTGTTAAAAGTAAATCCTCAAATGTTGTACAACTAACTCCCAAAACTTACTCATCTTGTAAACTGAAATGGTGCCCGCTAAACAGTAACGCCTCACTTCCCACTCCCCTGGGTTCCTGACAGCCTGCATTTTATCGGTGTCTGTGACTTTGACTGTTCTCGGTTCCTCTATTAAACGGGATCCTGCAGAATCTGTCCTTTTCTAACTGGCTTATTTTACTCGGCAAAATGCCCTGGGTCAGAATTTCCTTCTTTTTTCAGGCTGGATGGTATGTGGAGACCACATTTCCTTTAGCCATCCACCCGTCGCTGGACACTTGGGTTGCTTCCCTCTCTTGACTATCGTGAATAATGCCATTAAGAGCAAAGGTGTGCAAATGCCTCTTCAGAATCCTGCTCTCACTTCTCTCGGGCATGTTCCCAGTGGGATTGCTGGATCATAGGGTAGTTCTGGTTTTAGTTTTTTGAGGAGTGTGGCTGCACCATTTTACACTCCCACCAGCAGTGCACGGGGTTCCAGCTGCTCCACATCCTCACCAACATGGGTTATTCTGCGTGTTTTGACAGTAGCCATCCCAATGGATGTGAGGTGGTATCTCATGATGGCTTTGGTTTGTGTTCCCGTAATAATTAGTGATGTTGAGTATCTTTTCATGTGTGTGTTGGCCATTAAATAAAATGTATTTTTGATATTAATCTTACGTGTTTCTTTTTTACTTTTTTAAGCATGGCTACTAGCAGAATGTCCAATGCGACCCGTGGCTGGCCTTGTGTGCTAGCTGGATGGGCGGGCCCTGCAGACGGAGGAGCCGGCCTCTGCGGTGGCGCTTAGCAGCCGGACCTGATTCTTCCCACTCACATCACGTCATTTCCGTGAAACCTCCTCCTCTGGTTGCTTTTGTTGACTTAGGAGAGTGAAAGAAATTAACCTCGTTTTATAAACATCCTAAATATTCATAAGCCTATGAGTACGCTTTTCATTTTTCCTCTCTAAACTCACGGTACATGCAGGCTTTGAGAAGGCGGTCGGTGGGGTGGTTTGGTTCCTCGGGCCCCTCAGGGCCACCCTGGAGTCTGGGGCAGGCTGCTTTGTGAAGGCTCAGAGCTGCCTCCACTCCTGGAGACCCTTGATAGGTCCCAAAGGGGATAGGAAATAACAAAAGGAAAAAGGTGTTTTTTTTTTGTTTGTTTGTTTTTTTTACTAGTTCCAAATAAAACTTAGTGATTGATAACTGTCTATCTAGACAGTTTATCTCTTTTTTTAAAAACACCCTTTATTTTGAGACTATTATAGATTCATATGTAATTGTAAAGTAGAATGCAGAGAGCACCTGTGTAACTTTTTTAAAAAATATATATATTTATATTTTACAGAGAGGAAGGGGGAGGGATAGAGAGTTAGAAACATCAATGAGAGAGAGACATTGATCAGCTGCCTCCTGCACTCCTCTTACCGGGGATGTGCCCTTGACGGGAATCGAACCTGGGACCTTTCAGCCCACAGGCTGACGCTCTATCTACTCAGTCAAACCAGTTTCCGCTGCCTGTGTAACGTTTATCCCATTTCCTGTCGTGACGATG